GGATTATACAATGGCGCTGATTGACTACACTCAGATGATTGTTAACAATTACATTGGGATGAATAATTTTGTGGTAAAAGATATGCAGCAAATATTATATGAAAATAATCTAGTGATTCGTCCGAATATGTAATATACCAATTAGACATTATAGTAGACATAAGACGATTACCAAATGTTGTTCTCCGTATCAGATTTAATGATCTCATAAAAGTATTTACAATTGAATGTTTCAATAAATTAATCAGAGATGCGGATTCTATCGGAAACGAATTATCTGGTATGACGTTAGACGTGACAAATTTTGTTGAGTTAAAAACGAGTAGAACATCGTTTATTGTCTGTTGTGTTAATTGACAAAGTACACCTAACAATTGAAACTGAGCAGTACCTAAAAATTATCGATTATGAGTCAGCTGGAATGCTTTACTTCCTTCCTACCTGTCAATCTAAAATCTGAAAAGCAAGTGTTGAATCTATAATTATCCACGTAATAAAGATAATCTGTCCAATTTTGAGTTATACATACACTTAAACAAACTTAATGATACGTTGGTAGCATAAATAAGAACTCATTATAATTAACTGATAGAGAAGAACAAGAACAAACAAGAGTATTTGGATATTTGTTATATAATATTGTATATTCGTCGTCTGTTGGAGATTTGACAATAGTAGTTTTTGTCTGCTGTTGAATTGCTGTGTATACAGTGAGAACCAGTAAGGCTACTGAGAAGATATTCAAAACGAGACGTGTTGAATATAATTCATTACGAACTTCATGATCATTAGATGTTGAAACTGATGGATTTTTAAACAAATTGAATGTAGACAAAAACGTTTTTGCATGTCTGAATAATATTCTGACTTTATTCCTGTTGCAACGATCTGTGCAAAGAAGAAATATCAAAACTTGCAACTGAGTAATGATCATCTCTTCTGTAAATTATTTTTCTCTCATAATCTCAACTAGATAGTTGGTTAACAAAGTACGTGATTATATTACTTTGATTCCTTACCTTCAGTGTTGAAACTATTGACGAATGAATTTTCACGTTTCTTTTTTCGTAAAAATGTAACAACGGGGTATGTAATAATTTTTAGCACACTAACAAGACCCCCAAATATTCCTAATATTGCCAGAGAATTGTTTGAACAATCTCAGAGGATTCTTAAAGAATTTATGTTGGAGAGGAATGAATTGCGTATCATTTGTGTAGTTCGTTTTGATAGCGTACTTTTGCGAACAATTCAAAACGACTTGACTACTTGGAATCCAACTTTTTTATCACATTTCTTCGTGGTTTACCAAGCTTTAATTGAAAAAAATCAGCTGTCTGTCTTGGCCCGATTCGAAATTAAAAACCGTTGATCTTCACTTCTAATTTCATACTTTGGTAGAACGCTTTATACTTTGGTCAATATGATAATATAACAGTTTGTGCCTTTTTTTCTTTCGCTTACGAGCCTCTTGACGACGTGCTCTTAAAATTCACGTGCTATTGAGAGAAATGAAGAAGGAAAACGGAGACAAATAGATATATGTTTTGACTACGTCAATTCAGCGAAAACGACAAAAACATAATATTATGCAAAGAGAACGCAAAAGAGCACCGTCATAATAACACAATAACAGCCTTCGAAGAACGAAAAAAAGACATCAAGATAACATAGCACTTTTTTGTATCTATAACTGAGCTGTGACATTTGCTTTTTCTCACAACTGGACGTAATCGATTGTTAGCGATCAACTTCGACTACAAGCACGACAGAAAGAAATATGGGCAAACTCGATGGAAAAGTTGCTCTCATTACTGGTGGCTCGGATGGCATTGGTTTAGCTACCGCTCAGTATTTCATTGCCGAAGGTGCAGACCATGTTTTCATCACTGGAAGACGTCAAGAGATGCTCAACGAAGCCGTAAAAAAAATTGGTAGCAAGAATGTCACTGCTGTGCAAGGTGATGTATCGAATATGGCTGATCTCGACAAGCTCTATAGTTTAATTAAGAAAGAAAAGGGTCGACTGGATATTCTTTTCGCCAACTCTGGTATCGCCAAACCTGCACCGCTGGGCTCGATCACTGAAAAAGATTTTGACGATGAAATCAACGTTAATGTCAAGGGAGTGTTATTCACTGTTCAGAAAGCTTTACCGATCTTTGTCAATGGTGGATCAATCATCTTGAACTCATCTATCTGCTCCACCAAAGGACTTCCGTCTCAGAGTGGCTACAGTGCAACAAAAGCCGCTGTTCGTTCTTTTGCCCGATGCTGGACAGTGGATTTGAAAGATCGCAAGATTCGGGTCAATGCTGTCAGTCCTGGACCAATCGACACGCCGATGCTAAGACGTGCCGGGAAGACCGTAGAGGAAAAGAAAGCGTTTATCGACAACGTAACGGCTGCTACAGTAATGAATCGTCTTGGCACACCTGATGAGGTGGCGAAGACTGTGGTGTTTCTCGCTTCGGACGACAGTAGTTACGTCACTGGCATCGAACTGTGCGTCGATGGAGGCTGGGCGCAAGTTTGAAACGATTTATATTTCATTCATTTTTATTGCTAATAAAGTGCGATCATACTGACATATGGATTCACAAGAAGAACAAAACTGGTGAAATTTCTCCCTAGCTGTCAAAGAAATGAAACGTGTGAAAGTGAGCTTTTTGAAGTTCTCTTTGTTTATCTAGAAAAACACAAATCTTCGACTATTTCCACCCTCCTCAACTTCTTTTACTGTTCAGCCTTTTGCTAACCTACTTCTGAACTTTACAGTTTTCTTTTACTCACTATTTCTGATAACCAGAAAAAGTTCGAACAAAGATATTGGCAAGCCAGTCTCTCATAAAATCTTGATTTTATCTCATGTCGCAAGAAAATCAAATCAATTGTGTGAATAGTCTAAATTGCGTTCTACCAAAGTACTGCACAAACTGTTATATTATCATATTGATCAAAGTATAAAGCGTTCTACCAAAGTATGAAATGTTTTTGTCGTTTTCGCTGATTTGACGTAGTCAAAACATATATCTGTTTGTCTCCGTTTTCCTTCTTCATTTCTCTCAATAGCTACGTTAGCAGAGTTGGCATGAAAGCAAAAGACTGATCGACGTATCCTAAAGAATGTACAGAAACAGTATAAAGTTCGCATTTTTCTTGTGGGAAATGATGTGATAAATGCAAAAAAGTTTTTTCTGCTGGCGAAAACGTTTTTTCTGCTGGCAAAAACCAATAGCTTTCTAAAAGCGTGGGAAAGGCGGTTGTCTCTTCTGCTATGCAGATAAGTCAGTTTTTATCCACTACTTTTGGTAGTGGATACATCTTGTTATAGTTGC